GCTCCCCGACCCGCAGCTCCGGACTCGGGACGCGTCCTACTTCCGAGACTTGCCGCGGGCCCACGGGTACCTGGCGCGCATCCGGCCGGTGCAGCCCACGCACCGCGGGACTTTCTGCTGCGTGATCCTGCACGACCAGCGCCCCCTGGCGCGGCTGTACTTCTTCCTGAACGGTGCGGGCGCGGGGCGGGGCGGGGCGGGGCCGGCGGCTGACGCCCCGCAGTGACCGGCCCGCCCCCGCGCGGGGAGACCCAGCTGCAGGTCACGTTCCGGGAAGTGCTGCGCTGGGCGCCGCGGGACGCGGAAATGGTCGAGCCCTGGAGGCCCAGCCTGGGCGAGCTGCTGGCCCGGCCCGATGCTCTGACGCTGGGCAACCTGGCCCTGCTGGCCGCTGTCATCGCCTTAGCATCCGCCTGTGCGACGGTGCTGGTGTGGTGAGTGCCGCGTGCAGCCCCCGCTCCTTAGACCCGGGGTGCAGCTCCCCCTCCTTAGACCGGGGTGCAGCCCTCCCTCAGCCCCGGGTGTCCAGGGCCAGCCCCTTCCCTCGGACCTGGTAGTCCATGCCTTACCACCTTTGAGATCCCGGCTTCAGGGCGTGTCATCTGTCACCGCCCACCCCGCACACACCTCCTTATTTCCCCAGGATGTTCTTCCGGTGGTACTTGAGTGGCGACTGACAAAGGTACCTCCTCCTCACCCCGTTTTCATTCCTGAAATAAAAGAGTACATTTCAGCGCTGGGTTCTTCGGCTTCTGAAGCTGATCTTGCCGACTCGGGTCAGTGAAGGGCAGTGTACTGGACGTGCTCAGGCCAGTTCAGCCCGCAGAGGACCGTAGGGGGCTCAGCTGACGCAGGCTGGGCCCGACCCGAGGCTGTTAGGCTCCAGTGCACACCGCTCTTGCTTCTCTGGCAGCCTTTCATATGTCCCTATGCAGGAGACACCCTCAGAGTCCCAGATGTCACCCTCAAAGCCTGTTGTCCGTCCCCTCAGGGAGCGCACCTCCATCCACCCACAGCTCAGACAGGGTGCTGAGTCATGTTTAATTCCTCCTCAGCTTCAGATCCTCTGTCAGATCTGTCCCTGAGGTCCTCGTCACCACTGTGTCGTGTCTGGACCACCATGGCCGCCTCCCAGCTCGCATCCCTGTCCCCACGTGGCCTTGGCCCTCTGTAGGCCATTCTCTGTGGAGCTGCAGTAATACCTTAAATCACTGCTGTGCAGCCTTTTGGTTTGCCTGGGCCACGCTTTGTGACAAGGAATTGTCTTGGGCCATGTACAAAATACAGACTATGGTTTTCTCTCGTTTTCTTTTTTCTTTTTTTTTTTTTTTTTTTTTTTTTTTTTTTTTTTTGAGGCGGTTTCGCTATGCAGTGCAGGCTGGCCTTGAAATCCCTTTGTAGCCCAGGCTGGCCTCAAAGTCACAGCAGTCTTCTGCCTCAGCCTCCTGAGTGCTGGGATGGTAGGCATGCGCCACCGCGCGCCATAGCGTATGGTTACCGTATATAAATAACAAAGACTTTTAAAATATTTGTAGTTATTAAATAATTTTATAAAATAACGCAAGCCCAGGCTTAATAAATAAGAACGCTTATGTGTCTGCTTAGTAACAAGAAATGTACATTGTCACAGGCGCACATGCCCCTGTAGGTGGGCTGGAATACTGTTATTAGTGATTGTGTTTTACTCACCAACTCGTGTGTGTGTCACGTCTGATTCACGTGGACTTTGACTGTGGGGCCGGTACAGCAGGCACCTAGCACACTGCACAGCACCCTCCCCTACCCAGTGTTCTGTTGTCACCTGCGCCACCTGTATTGCGCTCTATCACTGGGCAGTCGAGTCAGGGAGGATGTTGCTGAATATCACGTCAGTATGTTAAAAGTTTTTGACCTGTGGGACTGCATTGCTAGCTGCCCAGGGTTGCATGTGACATCTTAGAATATGTCAGATTGGGTCACCTCTCTGCTCCCAGTTTTTCAAAGACTCCGTACTGGCATCAAAACAAAACCCAATTCCTGATCCAGGGCGCCAGTGCTCTGGAGCTCCACAGGTTCGATCCCTGGCTGAGCTTGCTGGCCTTGGCCCTCCCAAAGATCAAGGAAGAAGACATCGTCTTCCTACCTTGTAGTTTGTCTGGCTTTTTCTCCTTCTTTGTTATTCTTTATTCTCTCCCCAGGATCTTGGTACATGTTGTTTCTTGCCTAGGATAATGTTTTTTTCTCTTTTTTTCATTTCTTCTTTGTCCAGTTAATTATGCTTTTCCTCGAGCAGCCTTTACATGTCTTAACTCAATCCCCATGACAGGTGTGTGCGTCTAGCACTGTTGTAGCGGCTCTACCTCCCCGCCAAACCCTTGCTACTTCTCAGCCCCCGGGGCCTCCATTTGCAGTCCTCTGGACATTCAAAGCTTGTCCCGTCCCCGGGCCTTTGCACGCGCTGCTCTTGGCTCTTGAAAAGTATCCCTGGCCTCCAGGAACCCACGCTGCTGTTGCAAAGGCTGCAGCCCACATGCCGCCTTCCCTGACTGTCCTGCACCCCCGTGACTGCTTGACACCCCCGTGCTTTAGCTGTGCGTGGAACTCATATGAGTGCACTGTGGTTAAATCGTGTTTCCATCAGTTCTGTCGTCACTCCCTGAGAGAAGCTGTGAGTGTGGGTGCGTTCATGTTCCCTGTTGTGTTCCCCTTTGTCAGATCACTCACTCAGCATGGATTTATTGAGCACTGACTATGTGTCAGGTATTTTCACAGCACTCTAGAACCGGTAATGAAAACTTAGAAGAGGAAATAAAAAAATCTGGCCTCTCGCTGAACTTAGATTTTAGCTGATACTAAACACCTTCGCTACTCATGACGCAAAGTGCAAAGTCTAGTGCTGTTTTTATTGTTTTTGTTTGTTTGTTTTTTGTTTTGGCCTTACCAACTAATTACCCAACTCTCTGGACGCTGGTTGAGTGTTTATAGTTTAATTCTGATAGCAACTACCAGAGTTCGTGTCAAGCTCTTAAGGATTTAGAGGCTCACATCCATGACATTGCCGTCTCTGGATACCAGTCACAAATAGTGGTTGTGGGGTACCGCACTAATGTCCACCTTAGCTACAAAGGTGGGGATCCTGAAAACCCACCCCGACCCCAGTTCATTAATTTGCAAGAATGATTACACAACTCAATGAGACGTTTAGCAGTTCATTATAAAGGATATTATATAGGGAAGGTGCATAGCCAGATAAAGAGGTATGCAGGACAAGGGCTGCTAGGGTCTCCAGTGGTGGCATTTATGCCCCTGTGGAGTTGGGGAGCCTCACCCTCCTGGCACGTGGATGTGTAACCAACCCGGAAGCTCTCCAAGCCCCACACTTTGTGGCTTCATGATTTAGACATAGTCAGTGGCTGTCAGTCTCCAGCCCCCTCCGTTTCCCACAGACGGTAGTTGGGGCTGAAAGCTGCATGCACCTAGTCATGGCTTAGTCTCACTGGCGACCAGCCGCCATCCGGGAGTGCACCAAGACGGAGTGGGACAAAGGCTGCTCCTATCACCCAGGACATTCCCGGGGTTTAGATGCTCTGTGAGATGCTCCCGTCACCCATGTCTGTAGCAAGTTACAGTGTGTTTGGAGCTATAGGTCAGGCCGTGAGGACAGACGTCTCACTTTTTTCTTACTGTGTCCCGGTAAAAAATTCAAATACAGTAATGTCGAGTCATACGAGAATACACGGAGAAGAGATGGCAGAGAAAAAAGACTGCGAGTGTTGTGACGGAGGAGGTGTCAGAAGGACCTCTGGGAGAGACCTGGCTGAGAAGGAGACTTCTGAATAAAGACTGAAGGAGCTGGGCAGGGCGGCGTCAGGATATGTGTGTCAGGAGCGTTCCAGGCAAAACCAGCAGGAGCGGAAGCCCCTGACGCAGGAGGAACACCCGGGAGGCCAGGGTGGCTGGCGCAGGGCTTCAGGAAGTGAGTACTGGGTGATGTCAGAAAGGGAGGAGCCAGGCCATGCAGGGTATTGGCCACTGTGAGGTCTGTGGATTTTCCTCTAAGAGGAGAGTCACTGGCAGGTTTGAGAGCCAAGCAACGTGGAGATCTGACGGACAAGGCTACTGTGGGGGAAACAGAGCTCAGGGGACAAGATGGAGGTCAAGGCTTTGTAGGTGCTGCAGTCATTCAGGCAGAAATGAAGCTTGGGACCAGGTGGTGACAGGGAAGGTGAAGTGTGGCTTCCGGTTTGTCCCGAAGTCAGTTTTAGGAACCCTCTGTTGTAATAGAAGCATTCTAGTTTTGTACGATCCAGTAGGGCAGCACCCACCACTTGCACCCAGTGTGGAACTATGTGTGTAAGCGTTGATAGCTTTAATTAGCGTAATAGTCCCTGCTTTGTGCCAACAGAGTCTCAGGGGCGCGTGCCCCTTGGGTACTCTTAACGGATCGCACTGGTCTATCTGTTGAGCTCCCTGAAGCCGGGAGCTCTTACTCAGTTCTGTAGTTGCAAACCTGGCAGAGTGCGTGGAACTCTGTAAGTACTTGGTAGACATATTTGTGGCTTATTGGATCAGTGAATGACATAAATATTATATAGAGTCCCATGGAGGACTGGCTACTGTTCTGGACATCACAGCTCTAGCGTTTGTGGTCTGAGAGCTGGAACAATACAGCTCTGCCTACCGAGTCAGGGAAACTTGGGGAGATTTCCTAGGGATTAGGCGAGGAAAGAGGGAAGAAGGGAGAGGGTGTGAGTGCTGTGAGGTATCCAAGCAGATCTGTCTTAGAGGCGTGCGGATATACACATCTGGAAGGCAGGGGTGAGGTCTGGTCTGAAAATCAAAAATTAGGAGCCCTGTCTCCTGCACAGAGCATGGATGAGGTGCTGAAAGCCTGCCTTGAATACTTTTGTCTCGTTACTGAGACAAAATACCTAGCACCCGAAATTAAGGAAGGAAAGGTTTATTTAGCTTACAGTTCGTGGAGGTTTCAGTCCCTCATCAGCTGGCTCCAAGGTAGGGTGGCAGGGCCCAGGGGCAACACTTCAGGGCAGCAGAAGACAGCAAAAGGGGGAGAGCAAGCCTCTTTTCCTCCCTTTTATTGCACGCAGGCTGCCCCCTCTCCCGGTGGGTGTAGCACTCACACCACCTCTGTGCCCTCCTCTTGCACAGGCTCAGGATGTTTACAAAGTGAGGACCCTGGCCCTCTGCTGAGTCACTTAGTTTTAAACTTCTAAACTTCTCAAGTTGACACAGTGAACAACATTCTAGAGGTAATGGCCTCTACACCCCAGGATGCAGAACTGCTGAGTTTCTTAGTTTAACTTCTAACCTTCTCAAGCTGACACAGTGTGTCAACCATTACAAACCCAGGGATCCCAGGGGAAGCTGGTATAGATGGACAACAGGATGAGAGGAGGTTTCCCGGTGTGCAGCAGCCGTGGTAAGAGGACCCAGAAAAGAAACATGAAAGCCCAGAGAAGAAACTTATTTCAAGGAGAGAGCACACAACTGCGCCAGATACTGCCAGCTCGTAACGCTGGAGGCCTGAGAACTGGCCGCTGGCTTTGGCGGTGTGGACATCATGGTGAACCTGAGAAGAGCGGCTTCTGCAGAACAGAGTAGGAAGGAGGGCGCTGCCTGTCTGATTGGCATGTGTTTGAACCTATGGGAATCAACTTCATTACTCATTATTGGAAACAAAGCCACAGCGAGGTACCAGTTTGCACTTACCAGGTTAGTCTGTAATCAGAGTGTCAGGTCCTAACAAATCCGGCAGGGATGTAGGGAAATTGGAACCTTTGTAAACTTGCTGGTGGGAACGTGAGCTAGTACAGTCCCTGTGGGGGCTGAGGCAGGAGGATCACTGGGAGTGGTGGCACACGCCTGTGATCCCAGCACATGGGAGGCTGAGGCAGGAGGATCGCTGCTGCGAGTTCAAGGCCAGCCTGGGCTACACTGAAACTGTCTCAGAAAGGAAAAGAAAAGTGGGAGAGAAGAGTATATTCAGATGCTCATGGGAAGGAGCCCGCAGGGAGGGAGACATTGGTTATTGCAGGTCAGGTGGGGGGAAGGGCCCGAGTGAGACCTCCGCCTACAGAGGGTGGAGGGCTCTGGGGTCACAGAGAGGGCGGCTTTGGTTCCCAGCACACAGTTCGCCCCAGCAACAGGGAGAAGGTGGTGAGCTGTGGGGCTGAGGACACCAAGACCTTTCCCCCTGGAACCGGTCTCTCTGAGACGGACGCCTGCCCAGGGTGGGGCTGGGAGACCAGGGAGAAGCCATGCTTTGGGCTTCTTAGCGTAGGCGCAGAGGGGCCTGGCCAGGGGCATCACCCGTGGGCTGAGGCAGGTGCCCCACGAGCCTCTGTGAATGCCCCGAGTAACAACCCTCGCCGCACGCTGACCCGTGGATTACTATCCCTGTGCCCCGAAGGGGGAGCTTAGGTTCCGGGGAAGGAGAATGTCCAGGCCAGGCTCAAACCGCCAGCACCCAAGTCGGAGCCCAGGGTCCTCAGCTCTCCTCACGGAGACCTCGCCTCTCAGGCTCTCGGGAAACGGGACAGGGTGCTCAGAAGAAAATAAATAAAATTCTTTATTACATCCTAATCACAGTACAAGTAGACATTAAATAAGAACAGGGCGGAAGTGGGGCCCTTTCCCCCCGGATCCTAAAACCCACACCCCGATCAATAAATACCCCAGCCCAGAAGTCCCAGCCCCGTGGTCCAGACTGCAGCGCCTTGGGTCCGTCCCTGTCTTCACCGAGGAGGTAAACTGCGGACCAGAGACCGGGGGGCGTCCCCAGCAGGCATCCCGGCGGGCGGGCAGGAGCTCACACCTGCACGCGGTAGCCGCCGGCGCGCTTTCGGCAGAGCCTGCGCACGCCCACCCAGTACAGCGCCAGCATCACGGCCCAGTAGCCGGCGTAGGCGGCCGCGCCCACGGCGAGGTGCTGGCCCTCGGCGACCCGCGCGGGGCTGCTCCAGTCGGCCCGGGCCTCCTGGGCCACGCTGCGCACCAGGCCGCCGAGCAGCAGCAGGGCCCAGAGCGCCAGCGGCAGCAGCGGGACGTAGTTGGCCGCCAGCTGGCGCCGGCCCGAGGTGCCCCAGCCGCTCTGGTTCATGGTGAGCAGCGCCAGGAACTTGGCGGGCAGCAGGCCGCACATGTAGAGCGGCGCGTACAGCGAGAGCAGCACCATGCGCCCGCAGCCGCGCAGCCAGGCCGCGAAGGCCGCCTTGGCCAGCGCCACGCCCTGCACGCAGAGTAGTACCCAGAGCAGCGCCCACGGGCGCCCCGCGTAGAACAGGCGCAGCACGGTGGCCGCCACGAAGAACGGGAAGAGCCCGGACACCACCGCCTCGTAGGTCATCCACGCGTGGTGCCGGTGCCACCACAGCGCGTTGTACAGCCACTCGCGGAAGTAGGACTTGGACCAGCGCGTCTGCTGGCTGAGCCAGCGCAGGAAGGACGACGGCGTCTCCGAGTAGCAGCGCGAGCGCGAGGTGTACCTGCCGGGCGGGACGGGGAAGGAGCGGGTCAGGGGGGTCTGAGGCCCGAGCGAGGCGCGCACCGGGCCGGCCAGTGGGGCTGAGATGCTTAACCTCTCTGGGTCTCGGGTTTTCTCACATGTACAACAGGAGCAATAAAAGTGCTGGTCTGTCTGTGAGGCTGAGGCAGGGGGATCTGGAGTTTGAGTCCCACCTGGGCAATTTAGAGAGGACTTGTCTCAAAAAAAATAAAAACCCCTGAATTCAGTCTCTAGTGCTGAAAGAAGGGAAGGAAGGAAGGGGGGAAGAAAGGTAGGAAGGAAAGGAGGAAGGGAGGGAGGAAGGGAGGGAGGAAGGGAGGGAGGGAGGAAGGAAGGAAGGAAGGAAGGAAGGGAGGAAGGAAGGAAGGGGAGAAGGAAGGAAGGAAGGAAGGGAGGAAGGAAGGATGGATGGGACGGAGGGAGTTTGACCTAGGAAGGACACTGTGAGGCCTGCTTGCGGATTAAATGCCAAGTGCTCGGGCCAGGCCCAGGGCTTGCTCAGTACGCACCAGCTCCTGTGGTGTGGCGGTGACTCACGCCCTGACTCCACGCTGCTAATATCCTCAGGGTGACTGAGATGTTGCTAACAGGTCTCTCAGGCATTACTAACGCTAGCACGGCTCTGCTTACTGTTCCTGGCGGGTCCTCCCACCGTGGGGAACAGGACGGGGGCAGGGTGGCTTGCTACCTAGGATGGCCCATGTGTCAGTCGTTCTCAGGGGAAGCCCTTCCTGTGGCTGTGGTGGACATCAGTGATCGTCCCTGCGTGTCGGGCCACGCCCACAAGGCTTCAGAGAGTCCCATCCGTGGAAAGTTGCAGGGGCCGCCAGCCGTCACCTCCTTAGGAGAGGTCGAGCTGTTTCTCCCCAGCTTCCTGGGTGACAGTGTCCCGGCCCCTCCCTGTGTCACTTGGCATCCACAGTGTCCTGCCTGCTTCTGCCCTTGCAGCCTGTACTCAAAACAGCTGCCGGAAGGATGCTGTCACATGTCGCTCCTCTGCTCCAAACCCGCCAGGGAGCTGGGCGTGGCACACGCCTGTAATGCTAGCACTTTGAGGGGCTGAGGCAGGAGGATCATAGGTTTGAGTCTAGCCTGGGTAATTTAGTAACAGTGAGACCCTGAGTCAAAATTAAAACAAAAAAGGTTGGGAATGTAGCCTAGTGTGAAAGCCCTGGGTTTAATCCCCAGTACCCCGGGACTGTGGTGGGGAATCAAAATATAAAACCAAGCCCACCTCCTCCTCCAGGGCTCCCTCTCCTCAGTCTGAATCCTATCAGCCTTCCTGAGGACCCTGTTAGCTCTTCCCTCTCCTTCTCCTCTCCCCTAACGCTCCTCCACCCCTGGCGCATTGCTGAAGCCACAGCACTCTCAGCCTCAGCGCCTGCCCCACCCCGGGCGCTGCATTCCCCACTTCCTTCCTTCCCGTCCCAGACTCCTCCTTTCGGTGTGCGGTACAGACTGTTAGCATGCTATGCTTCTACTAGCTTATCTGCCTGTCTCCCCAGTCAGTGTGAGCTTGAATCTGTGTCCCTCCAGTCTTCTGTGTCCCCAGAGCTTAAAACCTTGTAGGTGCTTAACAAGTGTTTCTCCAGGGAAAGAACTGGACAAGGTACCAAGGGTTCCCTGGGCACATGCCACGCGCTCTCTGGGTCTTTTACAGGGTCTCCCCAGAACTTCGTGTGATCTAGCTCACACTCCTCCAGCTCACATGCAATCACTTT